TCTCTCATTATTTTCCACTCTGTTGCCACGACGACAGCAGTTTGAGTGACAGATCTGAAGTTGGGCTGACAGGTGACGTGGGGCACCACAGACAACATAACGTACACTAATATCACACGCAAGCCTCATCTGAGCTCATATTAGAAAAGCACAAGAGAAAAAAAACATAAAATGTTGACATTAAATATTGATTTTTATGTGGGATGAGCTTTACTGTTCCTGGAGAGAGAGAGAGGATGGGGAAATATGTCTCCGCTCCGGCTGCACAAACACACTCGAATGCTTAAGAGTTCACTCTGGTTTTCCTCTAGGAAAAAAGATCCAAACACACCCTCATAAAAGACAGCAGCACCTGAAACAGAGCTGTGCTTTTTCAGAACTTCTGTACACCCTCGTTGTACTCAATTAAGAGAATAATTATTCACCTTTCATATGATAATCAGCGGACAGAACTGAACGCTGCTGTGTGTTTAGACGTTCACCTGCTCACGATGAGGCGACGCTGTTATATAACGGCTCATCTGAGGAGAATCCTCTCTCGCGAGCTGTTAGCAGATCCATATTTCTCTAGCAAAAGCCCAATATTAACCCAGTCAGTTCCTAATGCATTATAAAATAATGCCAAAACTGTATTACAAACTGCCACAAAAAACAGATGCTGCAACACTCAAAGCACTTGATGCAAAGCTACATTACTAGCAGAACTGAAAACAGATGATTCCATGGAAACATCATAACGCTTCAGTGATTAAATGACTCAATGAATCATGTGGAATCAAAAAGCTGTGGCTTATACAATGTGAAAATTCATTTAGGGCATAATGCATTATTTTAATTGCGTGCAACATCATTAATATCGAACATGAATAAGACACCAAGTATCCCAGATATCAGTTGGCTGTGAGAAACATACTGAATCCTAGAGAACATAATTACTAAAGATTACAGTGTTAATACCATAGTAAACGGCTACAAAGTCCTGAGATAATCACAGCTGTGTAGATATTCAGCACAACTGTGATATTTCAATTATATTCTCTTAAAACTAACTACAGCAGCTTGTAATTATACATTTATTTTATATTTCTTCTCCACAAAATAAAATTGTTCCAAAGGAAGCCAGAGCAACAGCCGGACTGGATCCGCATAAACGAGCGGAGCAGAGTGACAGAGACAAAAGGTTATGCTAAATGTCAACACTGTTAGAACAAAGCTTCCCAAATCAGACAAATCAGGAACGAACAAGAATATGAACGCTCCCGATGATGACGATAAAGACTACTCAACATGACTGAACACCACTGAACGTGAACACACATGTATGTTCTATATATAGCTGAACTGCAAAAGCATTTACTCAAAGTTTAGTCTTTCCCAGCTTCAACATCAGAATTAGGCTAACAGATAGCATTAAAAAAATAATTGTTTTATTTTTGTTTCTATTTAGAATACATGGTGGACAATACATTTGCAATGTTATATTAGAGTCTTGAGCTGGAATAGTTTTTTTATGAAGATCCAGAGGGAGTTCATCACACGCCTAAAGACTTCCATCTCTTTCCATAAATAAAAAATAAATCTATCTCTACCCTCCCATTCGGGAACATGTTTTCAAGCACTTACTCTGAGAAGCCCATGAGCCAAATCCATGACACAAATTCAATAAGTATAATCATCTGTTTTCATTAGTCGGGCACTGGGACGAGGGTCTTATACGCTGACGTCCTATAGGAAGCAGATAAGCCATTTCTATAAGTGATGCATTTTAATAAGCTGCATCTGGCTGTTTGGTGAACAGTGAAAACTGAACAGAGAGGATTTGCTCGCTCCCTGTAAGCACGAACTGGACTGGACTGTTCTAGAAAAGAGCCGGCGACCCACTGCTGAATGACAGTTTAAGCGTCTGTGAGCACAGGACTCAACGAGCCGGCATGTAAAAACCGTACATGATGTGCTGGCACCCGCTCTGTCTCATTTCTCCTGTTTTAGTCACATAGTAATGAGCTTTTTACCTTCCAACAGGGCTGCATGAAATGACGCGGTCTGAGTAACTGACAGTTCACGTAAGAGCACATGAAGGTGAATTATCAGAAACTGCAAGAGTAAAAACACAACGAGGGAGACACTCAGCATCAGCTCAGAAAAACCCACAGAAGAAGGATTGACGGACACGAATCCACCATCTTTAATATGTAGTACAATCCTGAGGAAAAGAGCTTTGCACATAAACCAGCATTCAGGGAGTCGAACCTGTAATAAGCTGAAGCTTATATATATCTTTGCATAACAGGTTACGATCAGCAGATTCTTGAAGATACTGGACACAAAAAATATAGCATGCTGAGTGTCATATGGCATTCAAATATAAACAGTGTTGGGAGTAACGTATTACAAGTAGTAACGTTAAGAGTTACGTAATCAGATCACTTTTTTCAAGTAACTAGTAAATGAACTCATTATTTTTTAATTTATAAGAAAATATCCGAGTTACTTTTTCAGATAAGTAACGGCAGTTACTGTTTCTCATGTATTTACTGAGTGCAGAGGTGCTGTGTGTGAACATGATCTTACTGTAGATCTAGACTCAATGTCAACATGCTTTTACTCATCTCACTCGCACAAAAACAGAAACAGATTCAGTATTTCTCAAAATGACTAAAAACAGTGAAATGCAAACTCAGAATATGCAAAACCTGCAATAATTAAATATGTTAAATAGCACAAATATCCTTTATGTATTTAATCCCATTTTGTTAACCAATGTTGTTGCTGCTGACCTTCAGTGATCCAATTCAAACATTCGAATAAGCAAAAATGACTTCCTTCAGCCTGAGGCTCATTCATTTCACTTTTGGTGTGAAAGGGCTTTTACATTTGCCAAAAATAGAACTTTTCATATTAAAAACAAACAAGCAAGCCCAGCCCAGATGAGAAAAAGTAACAAAAACGTAACATAACGCATTACTTTTCATAAAAAGTAACTAATGCAATTAGTTACTTTTTTAAGAGAGTACCGCAATATCATAATGCATTACTTTTAAAAGTAACTTTCCCCGACACTGAATATACATATAAAAAAAGAAGAATATGCGCCTTACTGTTTGTGGAGAAAGAAAGAGATGAAGACCTGCAATGTCAAGAAATGAGCAAAGAAATCAGTGACATTATCTTCTCTAATATCTACTATAACATCATCACCCCACAACAAGACTGACTAACTCAAGCAAATTACAGCACAATTACAACACTCATTTGGAAACTCAAACAAATGAAGTAAAGGTCAATGATATCAGACCCTAAAAACACATTGACACACTATCAGCACTCCGATAAAACACAGGCTCTCGAGCAGGTACAGAGTATAGAGACACAACATCAGGATATCTCCAGCCCTAATCAAACACACCTTCTGTAATGGTGTGTGTTCGTCTGTCACAATCTGAGACACAGCGAGGATCGACTCCAGTCTGTGTCTCCAGCACTATTTATTATCACTCTCTCTTATCATTGCATTATAAGAATGACTTTTATTTACTCTACTTGTAATTTAATTTTATTCTTTACTGTCATCCGGACTACATTTCTTTGTCAATTACACTGTTTTATTTTTCTTAATTTATGTTTATGTTCTGCACTATTCTCATTTTGCACTGTTTGAACTGCAAATGCTGCAAATGCTTTAGCAATATGAATGCAAAAATATCTGTCATGCCAGTAAAGCACCTTAAAACTGTGTGTGTGTGTGTGTGTGTGTGTGTGTGAGTATGTGTGTGTGTGTGTGACTCTGTGAAAACGTCTCTTCCAGCTGGGCCGTGAATTAAACGACAGCTGATTTCAGGCTTGACCTCAGAGATCCACCATAGTGTAAAAGCAACAATAGAGGGACCATCAGCCTTTAGTTTCACCCGTCTGCATTCTAACTGAATTAAGAAAGTCTGAGAGTTCAAGAGTTCAATTTGAGATAGCAAACATAACGCAAAACTGCAATTTAGATGCATTTTAACACTGAATAAATGAACTTCAATGGTTTAGGCTGGAAAATCACTCCATTTCCCAGAATGCATTACCTGTGCTGAATTACTCTGAATTACAGTTCCAATTCAACTTCCTGCATGCCAGTTCAATTCAAATTCACACGCATGAACTGAAAGTGAACTGATTCTTCAGTTCTGAATTCTGCTCAACCTCTTTCTAAGTCCTAAACATCAGGACGGATGGTGAGCGTGATTTAACCAAGTACAACATGTTCCTGGATCAACATCCTTGTTGATCCGGGAACATCATTCCAATCAACCAATCAGAATTGAGAGATAACTTTTCAGGAAATGTCAGTTTTAGGCTTACAATCAGGATTAGGTGCTTCTACAGACTTGTTAATCATCTATCATTTCCCTCTGATTTTAGGAATAAATTATGGGTAAGGTTAGGTTTAGGGGTGGGGATTGGGTTAAGTCTGTATTTTTGGACAGTAATGTTGATCCAGGATCAACAAAAGATGTTGATCCAGTAACATGTCTTACTTGGCAAAATCACGGCGAACCAGGACGGACATGTGACGCGTGTCAAAATGAGAGAAACGCCTCCTCCTCTCATAGTCACTGTCCGTGGACTTTTGAAGAACAGCCAAGCTGATGCTCGTAATGCATTTCCAGCTGTGCATGAGCACCTCCTGTGCGTTTTAATATCAGACTAAATGAAGGTCGTGGCAGCATTTACAGACGGGCCTCATGCTGCCCTCTGCTGTCGACCCTAACAAACACACAATCCACCAAAAACAAACCACTAACTACAGATCAGATCCAAACCAGAAGACATGTTTAACATGACAAACTCAGTTCCCGGATGGCCTCGTTCCTGCAGAGTTTAGCAGCAACACCTGCCTGGGAGTTTCTAGAGATCCTAAAGACCTGGACTGGTTGAGCTGTTGAGTGAGGGATGAAGCTTAACTCTTCAGGAAACAGCCGGACCGGACACACCTGGCTTAGAAGAGCTCATCTTACCTGTGACGGACAGCTCAGTGGTCCTCCTCACCACAAAACTCCCAAACTGTAATTCGCAGGTGTAATTCCCGATGTCGTCTTCCCGCACGTCTTTGATGGCGAGCCCATCCACCTTCCTGACGATGCTCTGTCTCCACTGTTTCGGCCGGCATTCCTGCATCCATAAACAGATCGGCAGTTTAATGCGGCTCCGAACACATTTCATTGGAATGACACGTTAATAAATCGCCTTCAAGTGGGCGGCTTTCGATGCTGTCAACAGACTGCAGCACTACGGATTTCATACTTGACAGTGTTTTGACAACAGCTAGAGTTTCATCTGTAAATTGTTGCCTTGGCAACACCTGTCAATCATTTATTTAGCACTAATTAATTTCCATGTCGATGAGCAGATGAGTTCATTATCAAGGCAGCGAACCATAAGAAGATGATGCATGAACTGTGCTGACGTTAACCAGTGTGAATCTCAGCTAAGAAATAAACGTTCAAAGATGAAGGGTTTTCTAATCGTCAATGATAACGCAGACGCAATTCAACCATTTTAATAAAAACACACCGCTTTCGTATGATGAGAAAAAGCACTACAAAATATTAAAACGTTTTTTTGAAAGAAGAAAAAGTGTTGTAAATGAAACCTCTTTGTTAGACTAGCTCAATTTATATAAAGGCACGGCATGAAGACTGATATCAACCAGTAAAGAACAGGATCAAATGAGTAATTTGTTGCTCATGCCGTGTGTTTGTTTTATCTTTCAGTTTTAACTCGTATATCGAACTAAGCAGAATGAAGAAGTTCACATTGATGAAAACTAAATCCAGTTATGTTTCCAGCACAAACGTCCACAGCCACTATCTGTCTTTGATTCAATTTAGCCAGAAAGAGCGGCAGACGTTTAATTTGAGGCTCATCTGAATTAGTGCGCAGTCCAATTTCACCTGTCTTATGGGTGGCAGAAACTGATCCATTCACAAAACTTTCCATCTCATTGTCTTTGCCTCAGGACATCAGGACTGATATAAAGTCAGTTTCTGCCTAACCCTAACTGCATGAGTCTTCTGCATGAAGATGATGGTATGGAAACAAACTGAAGGGTATTACAGTACTATTAACACTAAACCAAACAACCTGTCTGCTCAGTGGTGAATACAGCACGTGATCGTACCTTGTACCATGTAATCTCTGGCTCTTTTCCGGTCTGTATGTAGTCATCGATGTCAGGACAGAGGATGTCTTTGCTCTTACTCAGCTCGGCCTTCTCAAAGTACCTCATCTTGGAGTTGTAGCAGAGACCCGTGTTGTTCTCAGCCACCGTGAGCGACATCGACACTTTCATACAGTATGTGGAGTTCCTGCAAAACACACCAAACCAACACCGTCAACAAGCTTCACAGAAACAGGCATTTCATTCACACTGGAAAAGGCTTTCAAATGTTCTTTTATTGCGATCAGCAGGAGACAGGAATCTCACGATCACATTACGACAAGGGTAACCTCTCAGAAATCCCAGATATTTACTGCTGAAATGAGTCAGTAAACACTCTGTTAAAAGGGTCTCAGTGTTTTCACATCATTCTCAGCAATTGTTTCTTTGTTTGTCTTGGGCTCAGGACATCTCAGATCAGCAGAAATGAGAGCAGAGAGCCAGCAGGCCATTTCTCAGCTTTGTTAGAGTGGCGCTCTCAGCGGACGCCTCTTACTGCCACAATTGAATTTATTGGAAAACAACTCCCTGAACAGAAGAAACAACACAATGCAGAACGGAGAGAAGAAAGGACAGAAAGTGCTGACTCAAAGAAGAGTGAACGGAGAATAAGAGACAGACAGAATGAAAACTAAAGATTAACATCCCTCCACAACATGTGATCCCCAGCTCCATTTTTAAAACAGGAGTCTTATAATTAGCCTGCGATTTGATTCCCTGGTGAAATAATTCAACACTGTTTTCCTGTAACACTAAACGCAACTCTCGTTTATATACAGGACATAAAAACACAGGTGGACAAAACCAGAGTCTACAAATACAGTGAGTAACAATGAGTAATGAAAGGAGAATGTGGTCAGTCTACAGCCAGCGGATCTCATCCGGAGTTCGGGGCCATTTAATTACATGTAATCTGTATATGTAATTACGTGATCAGATTCCAAAAATTAAATACTTGTAATTAGATCAAATTACATAAAAATTAGTGCTGGGCAACGATACATTTTTTTAATCGCGATTAATCAACTTTGCTCAGAGTCCAGAGCCTCGATCATAACATTATAACAGGCACCTTCTGAGTAGAGACCTGCACGATCGTGGGACCCAACGCAACAGAGTGCGGCGCAGGCGAGTGATGGGCGAGTGCGGGTGCGGGTGGGTAGAGACTAATGCGCAATAATAAGTACTCACACTAGGCATTCTTGATAGTGCTCGAGCGCGATTGACCCCCAAGGCCCGGTTTGTTTGACTAGCGTGATCGCTCCGTGCCGTGCTCGGGCGCAGTTTGTTTAGCCGGCCCTGGCTCGGTTGGAAGAGGTGGGCGAGAGCGTGGTTCAATTGGGCTTTAGCGCGGTACGCATGTAGTGTCGGAGCGTTGAACTTCTGATGCATGCAGCACGATTGCATGAACATTTCTGAGCGGCAAAAGCGATAGATCTGTAAAGCAATATATTGTGAGAGGGCCGTGTGTTACCGCGTCCCAAACAACTCAAAATAATAAACCACAAAGTTAACAAAACGATGCACTCCACTGTGCTGAGTGAGAGTGCTTCTCGGCTGTCTTCACGTACTATCGGAAACTTACTAAGTTACTATTTCCCACTTATGAATTTGTGAGTGCTTCATGTGAGCGCTGCTGCAGTCTTAGGTCCACCCCATATGCTCTCATTGGTTGAGACGCATGATGACACCCATCCCAAGCCAGTAACCTACTGATCAACATCCCACCCTCCTGTGACCCATGGTTCCCTTTCAAGGGAACTTCGAACTGCGTCCTCTAGGGGTCGCTATGGGGAACGCCTCGTCGTGACCCGTCTGAAGCATACATTGAAAAAACACCAACAACACGTTGGCCTGCAACAGCCCATGACGTCACTACCGGTGCGACTATTACTATAAATAGGCGCCGGGAGAACATGTCATTCTCTTCTTCGTCTTCACTGACTGTTTTGTTTGAAGCGTGCATTTGAACGTGGTAAGAACGATCTCTATCATATTATTATGGCGAGCACTAGCAGAACGTTTAGAGGATGTGTGCATCCGTGTTGTCATTGTTTAACATCTGATGACACACACGATCTATGCGTTATTTGTTTGGGCGAAGAGCACGCACGCGATGTGCACACACACACAGCAGTGAGTAGTAAACACACACACACAGCAGTGAGTAGTGAACACACACACACACACACACACACACACACAGTGAACACACACAGAGCAGTATTTATGTATTTTTGTATCTTGGTCTGACACTGTATACAGGCAGAGGAAGACAAGTTGAGCTAGAATCTTAGTAGTATCCCTGGAAAATATTTTGTTTATAAAATACAACCATGTAAATAGGATTTTTAAGGATGAGAATATATTTGCAACAATTAATGAAATGACTCCAAACTCGTCTCTGACTCCAGCTTAAAGACTCCATACTTGACTCGGACTCGTGGCTTAAAACTGATAAAAATTTGTTTTTAACACAGTGTTAATTTCTTTGTATAAAAGCATCTGGCAAATGCATACATTTAAATGTAAATCCCCTCAGAGTTTAGTTGAGAACCTGACATAACAAAATACATCAATTTTTTGGGAAAATGCAGCTGCTGTTAACCATGAAATTACAGGCCTAATAGTATTGATCTTGGAAGTAAAACGGTTCATAAAGTCATTACTGCTGTGCTGTTGGGGAATGTCTGCGCCTGTTGATGCTTTATTTTTTGTTAATTTAGCCACTGCATTGAATAAATGTGTTTTCTTCTAAAAGAGATGAAAGGTAAGCAGATCTAGCAGTTTTTAGAGCTCTTCTATAAGTGGAAGTACTTTCACTCCATGCAATACGAGATACCTCTAGTTTTGTTTTGTTTCATCTGCGCTCCATTCTCCGAGCTGCTCTCTTTAAGGCACAAGTGTGTTCGTTATACCATGGTGTCGGACTCTTTTCCTTAATCTTCTTTAAGCATAAAGGAGCAACCGTATCTTTTGGATATGCTGAGGAATTTAAACATATAGCTTTAGCTATATGGAGAATACACGAGACTATATAATGATCCGAGACAGTTAGTCAAGTGCAAACTCTAAGATCTAAGAAATCTTAGAATCTGTGTCTTTTATCTAAGAAATAAAAGACAAGAGATGCTAGTCGCTCTGATCAAGATCTAACATCTAACACAAAGCACTGTAGTTTCGAACAGACATTCTGCAGGATGTCAAAAAGCCAGATGCATTTCAGCCACATTCACACCAGTAATGCAGCATCCGGTTAATTTCTCTGACTATAACAGATGGAACTGAGCATTCTGGGGGAAATGTGAATGAAATACGGCTTCAAAAGCAGCCGTAGAGTCAGAAGCGCTGTCCCTTGAGTGATGTCTGTCTGAGGATGTGCTGCGGCCAGTCGTGTTCGCTACAACGTTTCTTTAAATCAGTATTTTATGAGCGCTGTATTATTTATGAGCCAGAGGAAGGTCAGGCTCTGCTGGGAGTGGAGGAGACACGATTCGGACAGACGCATAACTCATGTGTCGCAGCGCCGAGGCCGGCTTATTAACTGTATACTGCTGGAGTCCAGCACACCGCCACTGTTTACCCATAATGCCTCTCAGGCCTCAATTCAGCCAATAGCCTTCTGCTAACGTTAAGTTAGGCGTTTTTCTCTCTACATCGCCACATCCCACAATCCCTTCAGCGACCAGAGTCTGGTCCATCACATAAACCCATGAACACCCGCTTCTCATCTCAGTTTCCTTATGCTCGTTTCTGACTTTTCAACTTTATTAACAATTCTAATATTCAATGACTGTTTAAATTCATGTGACGTAAACATTAGACTGCTACAATAGACTTTATAAAAGCCTCTAAACTCATAGTGCTTTCTCATCTCATCTCTAATAGACACACACACTCAACTTCAATCCACTACATCATCACAATGTTAAATTATTAATTTATTTTAATGTTTCTGCAGTTGTTGCATTTTTTGCAAACCTAAAGGCACAATATGTAATTTTTGCCGCTAGAGGGCGCGTATTCAAAACAAACAAATAGACAAAGGCGTAGTTTGATGACGCCGTGATTGAGTGTGGAATCATGGGAGTTGTGGTCTTCATCCCCACAGCTGATGCAATCCGACGGGACTCGGGCAGAAATCATGTTCATGGTTGAGCTAATGATTTATTAACGTAGTAGAATGAAGCAGGGTGAGGCTGAAAGCCGTCGAAGCGAAACGAGGCGCTGAACGAGCGCGACACACGGCTGGAAAGCAGCAGAGCTTTTATTATGCCACAGTCGAGCGCTTCCGCTGCTTCCGGTCGTGCGTATGTGGGGTAAAGCAGCGCTGTTTTATCATACTAGATACATTTGAAGGTTCTGTTATAATGCTACTCTGTGCGGTCGTCACCGGTCTATTAAAACGCACAACATATTAAAGCATCTTTAGTGTTTCCATGTTTTCTACAAAACAAAATCGAGGGGTTATGACGTCATTGGCAGGCGACACAATGACATTATGGACACGGTCTGTGTTTCTAGTTAAAATTGCTTATTTCTCTGGATTTAAATATTCTTCGAAACATTTGGGATAATGTAAGTACACAAGTCAGCAAAATATATAACAATGTTCTAGTGGTTTTTGGATATTTTAATTAAAAAATCTTACATATTGTGCCTTTCACAAATGATTTTGATTTTTTTTAAATGGGGGTCATTACAAAATTTGAATGTTAAAATAGGGATCCCCTGAAAAAAAGGTTGGCAACCACTGATCTAGACCCATTATACAGTATGTGGCATTGTGACGATTTGATCAATATGGTGCCTGATCTATAGATTTCAGAGATGTGCCTCTAGCAGCCGCTTCTTCCTGATATTAACTAGTGTGCAGCTGTCAGTGTGTCCAGTAGGTGGCAGGAGCAACAACACTGGGGACAAAAAACAAGAAAAAAAAACATTATGAACAGAATAAAACATAATAACATACCAAAAGCTAAAGCTTCTCTATATCTGTACCCTGGCAGAGAGAAAGATTCTAATCAATTTAAGACTCAATGGTCTGTTCCTGATGGTCATGTGATCTGATGGAGATATTAGAGCAGCGGGAGTGAGTTACAGTAATACGCTTGTGTTGTGATGAACATGATGCTCCTTTAAACTCCACTGAAATTCTTCATCATTTGTTACAGTGTTTCGCTTCAGATCAAAGGCTATCTCAGTTCAGAGAGAAACTCAAACATCATCTTCTCCTAATGAGGGAACCTAATGAGCCATTGACAGGAAACGGCCTTTACCTGCGAGGTTAATGACGCACTACAACATGCAAACGTATGGCTCGCTTTCCCTGTTTCTGGTGGATTGACCTCTGCAGCGGAACTGCTGCTGTTCGCAAACATCATCACATCAGAAGAACCGACGCTCGAATCGTTCATTTAGTCTAGAGACGTGACCTGAACTGAAAATGCATGAAACCTCATTATTGAACACACATCATAAATGGTAAAAGTGTGGTATCAGAAAGAGTGGAACGAAGGCATCACGAGGTGCTCTGGCCAGAGCTGTGAGTGTGATCTGATCTCATCACTCTTCATTATGCACTTCACTCACAGCTGTCATTTGTTTTGATGAGTCTCTGTATTAATACACCAGACACAAGTCCATTCTCCTCTGTCTCTGTTTGTCTAACAGGACGGATGGATGAGGTTGTATTGATTGAGTTAGTGTTGCTCCTGATTACTGTAAATGGATGTGACCATCAGCCCAAATCAAATCCCCCAAAACAGCTCATTATACAACAACAGATTGATAATGAGAGAGACCACAATTCAGAAAGCCTGTCAAAAGAACTCCTCGGCTCTGTGATTTCTGAGATGTGGAAAACATTGACGGAATCGCAGAATGCATTCATAAAAATGGAATTCACTGTATAATGCAGAATGTCATGGAATTTGTCTGATTTTGGATGAATAAATCAAAAGTCAATGGTCAGTTCACTTAAATCGTGATACGGTCTACTGTGTTTGAATGTTAAAACAAGAAAAGACTATTTAAATATGAATCCTGCGGTGTGTTGCCTGCAGTGTCTCACTAAATGAGGGCATGAAGACATGAACTTCATCTCCAGAGCTGCTCTGAGAGTCAATTCAGCAGCTTTACAGCGTTTACTTTGAGAAAAGCCACCGTCAAACACACATTGAGACTCACAAATCTTCACCACAAACTGCCAACATAAAAGTTTGGTGTAACTTGAAGAAATTATGACAGAAATATATTACTATTGTACAGTAGAATGTATGTCTCAATGTAATAATAA